GCGACATCAAAAAAGTTGAAGGAAACCATCCCTACCACATTTCATGTTACACAAGAAACGTGATCGTACTGGTAAAAGGTTTTATGAGATAATCTAATATTAACCATAAAGAGCTATTGGAATGGTTAAATAAGATGATCATTCTCATCCTAACATTAACTACAAAGGCTGTTAGAATGATTATTTTGCTTTATTTGATTATTTGATTTTCACATGACCGCCGTCTTCTTTCGCCACTACTGACTACATGCAATAAAAACTTGAGGAAATCGTAGATTGTTCACTTCTATGAAAATTGCCCATCACTACAATAGATTATGTATAAAAAATACCTTGTTCTTGGCCATTTTTATGACCCACTCCCCCAAAAATTATAATAGTGAGTCAGGATAACAAGTACATCACAATAATACAAAAAGTTTGATATACAAATAGATATGAATATCCACGTATCATTCTTTCAACAGTGTAAAAAATTCAGGTTGGAAAGTATGTACAAACTCATATGATAACATGCTTACTTCATATTAAAATAAGAAATCCATGTGCGATCCGCAAATGCGCGTCAAACTTTTCCAACTCAAAATTACACGCAACGGCGGAAATAAGAGGTAAATCCCTGGTCATCTGGGGCCCCTAGCTGGCCGAAGCTCTACTAGGGTATTTTCCGTAGTGGTGAAATAAATATTTTTAATCTACATTGGATTCTCAATAGTCAAGAACTGAACCCTGTGACGAAATACCTCCAACAGCTAACAATTATTTCCAAAAGTCTTTCTTCCAGAAATTAGTAATCCATTTTTCCAAACGCATATTCGAACACAATTTTTGGGTGCGCGGTGTATTATGTAAATCAAAACTATATGTGGTCATATAATAAAATTTATTAATAAGGTAGATGCGCGACGCTGTCATGCGAAACCAGGAACTTAAATTTATGAATGTAATATGGGTATGGTGCAAAATACCTAAAACATCCAATCTTGTTACTCATATATTTCAAATTTCGCAAATTAATATTTGCACTATAATTGCGTGTAAAAGATTTATCTAATTAATTATTATTTTACGAAATTTACAATATTTGCTGAGTAATAGCAATTTTTTAGAAAAATCACAATTTCAAATTCATTGTTATATTAATAATCGACTGGATGATATTTATCAATTAGATACAATTAGTCGATAATAGTTAAGATTTGATTTAATAGTACCAGGGTTGTGAATAGATAGCCATTAGACATATAAAAACTATCAATAGCATCCTTTCCAGTATTTTGCTTGTAAGTTTTCCATCTCCGCATTGTCTGAAAAACATTCCCATCAGCAAAGATGGGCATGCCTATGGGCGTGTGTAGGCATGCCCATAAGCTAAAAAGCATGCCCTAATATGGCATGCCTATGGGCATCAGATAGTAATCGCGATGACGCTCAAGCATATAGTTGATGATGATATTTATAGAATTAAATATTTGAGCATACTTTCTGTTTTTTTTTTAATATTTCGCAATACTGCCTAAAATACCTAATGAAAAAGATTTATTTCGATCTGTTAAAGTTTCTACTTTAGCTATGTTGGCTTCTCCTTTTAATGATTTTAACAATTTAAATTTTTTAATTATCCGTCAATTATGAAAAAACTTTTACCCGACTCTTTCAATTTAGATCTTTACTGAGAAAATTTTAACTTTAAATGAGTAAAAAATGGAATAATAGTATTCACTATGGTTTGGTTAAATGTCAAAAGACTGATGTATTTATTATACTCATATTAATATATCGATTATTTGTTTTAAAAACTTCGAACATTAAAAAATAAAGTGGTTATCTTTATAGACCAGTTAAAATTTGTTGAGAATTAATTGTTTATTATATTTTATACGTAAAAAATGTAAAGGTAATGCTTAAGTGACCTTTATTAATAATAAATTTTTGAAGAAAAAAGATGACTTGTGTATTGCTGATTTGTTTATCAAAATAATAACTCGCTTGGTAAATTTATTCAATTTTGACTAATTAAAATTTTACTTTCGATTCATTGAGTAAAGTGCTTGAGAACGCCCTTAGCTAGCAATACAATGAAGTTTAAAACTACTAAATATATAGCATAAGCAATATTAGAAACATCAATTATATTTAATTTTTACTAGTAAAATTTTTTGTTTATAATAAATAGAGGCATGCCTATGGGCATATAAGGCTTGCCTTAACTCAAGGCATGCCTGTTTCTTTATCCGTGCCCGAACCCTATTCCCATGTCAGCATCCTTTTTTTTTTTACTTTTTCAATAGGTTCATTTGCTGGTGAATTTTTATTCCTCCATCAAAAGGCATGATTGTCTTTATTTTTTCATAATCATTAATTGAGTAATCTTTAGAATATCCTGGTTCATCTAGATCTAATCGTTTATCTGGGTATATTTCTGGCATGTGGTCAGGCTCTATATGTTTTTTGGATAATTCTTCTATTTGAATAAGTAACAACTTGATTAATATCAGGGCGTTTTGTTGGATCGTCTTGCCAACATTCTTTAATTAAAATTAATAACTTAATTAGTAAGAGTCGAAATAATTAACTTTCATGCCAATATATATGTTGTACCCAGATTAGAATCGTCCCGATTCTGAATCAAATGAGAATTTTGTAATTTTGGCACGAGCTATGTTATCTAAAATCAACTCCAAACCCCTAATACTAGCCTAAAGTCAATCTAAACAATTTGCAAAATTCCCATCCTGACAGCTTGATTCTGAATCGGGACGATTTTCTAAACATGCATATATGCCAACATACCATCATATAAAGCGGAATATTGTTTCGGTGTTCCTTCAATGGGGGTTTCTCTGTGACCTTCTAGTATGTTCATAAATTGGGCTATTGCATCAATTACTTTTTCAAATGGAGGACGTCCACTAGAAATTTCCCACATTATTACACCTAAGCTGTATATGTCACATTCTTTTTTTATTTTGTACGAAGGCTGCTGGGAACATTTAAGACTCTGAGGGTCCATATATGGCACAATGCCAGCATGTTCCGTCTTTGTATTAGTTGCGTCAGCCAAACATCTAGAAAGCCCAAAATCTGCAATCTTGATATTATGTTCGTGAACTAATATATTTTTTGAATGCTACATAATAACAAGTATTTCATGTAAGTGATGTAAGTGTATCATCATAAATTGAAAGAAATTAATAATTTTATAAATTTTTAGTTACAAGATCCCTGTGAACGACATTAGCAGAGTGCATATGCTTAATAGCTTCGGCAAGTTGACGCGGTAGACGAAGCCTGTTATGCCAATTAAGACTTTTGTTCTTTTGCAAATAATCCCTCAGCGTTCCATTATTAGCTAGTTCTAATACTAGCACATATTTATGGCCAAGTTCAAACATGGAGACTGGCCTTATGGTAACTCCATAAAATCTTATAATTCTATCATTCATATCCACTTTTATGTGTAATTTAATCTTTTATTTATAATTATTTTTAGTACATTATTGTCTAGCATTACATAATTAAATACATTTTTAAAATACCTCTTTCTCTAATGCTTTTATAGATTCAACGTCATTATGTTTGAAAACTTTTAATGCAACGTCATTTTTGATCTTCTAATTTAGCATGGTATACATCTGCGAATGCTCCCCACCAACTTTCGTGAAATTTTTAAACTGATTAATGTCATAAACTTTTACACTCAAGTCCTCTATTGTTTTTTCAAGTGAATTAGACATGTCAAGAATTATAATAATAAAGTTTGAGCACAAAGTCGATCATTGAAATTTATACATCGTTCGTTATTTGCTATTTATGTATATTGTGAAAATTGTATCACGATTGTGCATAAAAAATTGCGACAATATGGTTTCAAATAAGTGACGCATTTTGAAATTAAATGAGAGTTTGAAAAATCTTATTTGGTTTTCAAGATTTTAAAATCGGAAAATGAAATGGGGTGTTTGGAGCTCCCCATTTCATGAAATCGGAATATTTTTATAATACTTGGTAAAAAAAAATAAAAAATAAAAGTTTCGTTCAAATTGAAGATCAGATTGCCGGATCGCTTATTTCAAAACAAATGCGTCATCAATTTCAATTAAAATTAGATTTCCGCGTTTTAACTTTGAAACCTCCTAATAATTTATATAAGAGCCCAAAATGAAAATAACTATATGTTACTCTTTAGGTAGAGATGATTTTAATGGTAGTAAAATTGCCTTCAAAATTTTGCAAAATCGTGTAGACAAAGGCAAATATAAACGTTGCAAAGCTTTATAGAGCCATTACAGTTAAACTACTAAACCGCTTTAATGATTTTACTACCGTTAGAGTCGTCTAGATCTAAAGAACATCTTTTGTTAATGTCAAAAAATACCTTAACATAATACCAAACCCAGTTTCGGAGCACTTTTTATTCTTATTCTAAATAAATACTATTAGGGGTGCGAATTCAACCCTTGCTTCGAAATAACGCGCAGGTGAGTGTTATTTCGCGCTTGCACAGTATATGAGTTAATGTCTTCTAGAATTGACAAAAATAGGTATAATTTTCACATGCAAGATGCTAAGAGAATATTGAACAAAAAGTAATATGTTTAGCTTAGTGGTGTGAGCGCAATGCCGTAATTGGTCGTAATTTTTTTTTTTTTTTTTTACAAAAACTCAATTATATCGTGATCCAATAATCCAAATTGGATGAATTTGATATCATTCGAGTCGTCTCGATGTGACGAATCGAATGGTACCTAAATCATTTAATTCAAATCACTGGATTGTCGTAAACTATTTAATGAATTACGGCACGTTTGCCGTAATTCATTGAATCATTATTTGCGGATACCTTGTGATCCAGTGATTCGAATTGGATGATTTTGGTACCATTCGATTCATCCATCAAGACGAACCGAGTGGTATCAAAAACAATCTAATTTTGATCACTGGATCGCAATATAATTGAGTTTTTGTAAAAAATTACAACCAATTACGGCATTGCGCTTACACCACTAGTTAACTTGTCAAAAGAAAACCATAATTAATGTTAAAAACTTACAATCGATAAAGTTGGACCCTTGATTGTAATTATTTTTCAAATTTTGGCTCTTATATTAATTATTTTCATTTTGGGCTTTTAATATATATTAATATCAAAAAACAGATTTTCTTATACCAAACCCACTTTTTATCTTTTTTTATTTTATTTTATGGCTATCTTATTTTTAAATTAACGCCCCTGAGCGTTATTTTGCATTTTTACGGTATGAAATGGTTTTTTGCAGTTCTAAATATCTTCGATTAATGTATCAAATGTGATTCTATAACTAGTATAGCTTATTAGTTTGGAATTGAATAAACTTTACAATACTGATAAATATTATATTTAACCTAGTTAAACTGTATCTCGGTTAAAAGGCTGTTTTATTAAACGAAAGAAAGTATATTATAAAATGTATAAAGTAGTACATATATACAGTGATGACATTCAAAGAACCACTATCGTCATAACGCAAAGTTATTTTGGCCCTTAATTGTAAAATTATCTCAAAATTTGGGCCCTTATATGTATTTATTTTCTTTTTGGGTTCTTATTTGTAATTATTTTCATTTTAGGGCTCTTATATATAATTTTTATAATAAATTTTTTGAAAATATAAATTTTTTCGCATCATTGTAATATGCAAAAACATAATGAAAAGTTATCCGTTTAAGTGAACTTTCAAAATATAAGAATACGTACAGTATATTTTGATTTCATGTATAGCTTTACTTAATGCACAGTATACTATGTAGCGATCTTGAAATGGGACATATGTAGCTTTTAAGTTTGTGACTATATGATGCATAACGATGAGCCTAGCATTTTGCACACATAAAACAAGAGAAGTAGTATTATGACAGATGGTGCGATGTAGCAAATCGAAAATTCAAGAACTAAGAATGGATTCCATCTTCACCATAATATTAATTTTTCATTAATTAAAATGTCTTACAACAGGTTATAAAAAACTCACTACACGATACAATAAGGTTCATATACCTTGGTTAAACAAAAATAAATAATTTACATTCTACAATCAATTATCTAGTCTATTACGATAAAATTTCTCTCAACTCGTCGAAAGATTCTTTCAAAAGTTTTCTAAAAATGGTGCTATCAGTTTCTTTGCATTTTTTATAACTACTAATACTAAGTTTCAATTTATCTTTTACTATAATATAACAAATTCCATAACCTTCAGGAACTACGGCTCCAAATCCACAATGAAAACTTAATGAAGTACTCATATTTGAACTAGAAAGTTTAAAGTACATAGATTGAACATATGAAGGGTCAGTAAATAATGTTGCCTTGGATTTTTCTTCTTCGTCACGGATTTGACATCGAAGACCTAAAAGGTGACGATCTACTCCACGACCTAATAAATGAAAATATATAGAGATAAATCATCAGTAGATCAAAATAGTTAAATATTGCATCCGCGCACGTACCATTAGTAGCAGAGATCATATATTCAATATGCGATTTCATAGCCTTCGTGAGTAGAGAAATTTTTTCATCTTTCTGTTCATCATTAAAAAAAAAAACATTGATTCAATGCCATATTCATAAAGTTTGAAGTTATATGAAAGCAACATATCATACCTTGACATTTGGATCACAAAAAGCTTTGGTAAATGCAACAGTGTCCACAGAGCAAGATCTCACAGTTTCAGTACGACCATGTAAAAAACCTCTAGTAGAGGCAGATTCATAAGTCGCACATGGTTCACGATAGTGTTTATAATATGCAAGTTGAATCGCCATCTGAACAAATGCATCAGGACTGACCTTAGCTATAATAAATCAAAGTAGTTATGTATAGAATTTTTATAATTTTATTTTATTTTATTTTTTTTGAAGCACATAATAAGTAAAACGTATGCATTACCATTTTTTAGCCAATCGGCGCCATATTCATTATAATGCAATAAAACACTATCAACATTATCTATTGCAGTTTGAATATTAATTTGCGCTTGTTGAATGGTGTTCATTATAGAACCATCAACTGTCCATTTTAAGTGTTGAGGAGGTGGTAATTCAATGGGGAAAGCATTTTGTGGATCTTGCGCTGGCTCACTTTCATTTTTAATATAAGATATTAACAATAGTTATCTAATATATATTTATCGACTTTAAATAATATGTACAGTATGTGTTGATATTAAAATTTACTTACTTTTTAAGAATATAATCGAATATAGCACCCGGAATTACAGCATCTGAAGGTGAATGCTATTTTGACAATTTGATGAAGTATAAGTATTAATGAAAATTATTATGATGTAAATTTAATTATGTCACCATACCTCACCATTAACACCAGCACGTCCATTATTTGCCACAATTACTTGAAGTGCTTTATCATACCATCGATTTCGACCATTATAAGCATGAAAAAAATTGTGATGAGAAATATCTATATCTGTATCAATAGGATAGTCATCCAACGCTATACAAAATAAAGCAGTGTCAATTGCTTCAAAGCTGATCTTATTTTCTGCAGACGAAGATTCAAGCTTTTTGCGAGCCTATCAAATAAACAAATGAATTTAACAAATACATTGTCGTGCATGATAGGGATGAATAGTTAACGACAAAATACCGTTGTCCATGTATCACGATGTTCACCAGTCAATAAACCTATCGGAGGCTGTAATTCCGTAGTATTATTCACTTGATCAACTATAGATTGGAATTGTCTAAAGTAAAAGAAGCCCAAGCACAAATTTAACAAATTTTGCGTTTTAAATGTTGAGTAGTATAAGTGGGGAAAAAAACAAACAAACCTTTTAATTTCTTTAATAGGAACTCTTTCACCTCCTCCACCTAAAACTTGAACTTTAAAAATTTGATCTCTAAAAATCACAATAATATGTTTAGCGGTTGCAGGCCATGTTGTTATAACACGATCAGAGGGGAAATCAGCAATGCGTGTAGCACCAAATTGTTTAGTATATTGATCCATGCACAATGGACCTTGACGTGTCTTCTCCGGCGGTAATAATTCACTGTTCAATTATAGATCAAATGTCGACGTATTAAATCAGAAATCATGAATAATGAAAAAAATTAAAATGAATATGATATAAAAGTGCTAAATATATATTCACATACTTATTAACCATATCATTAAATGTCAACATATTTGATACAAGTCCAGCAGCTCTATCGATTTGTAATTCGGATATTTGGCCTTTTGGAGGAGGATTTTTTAGAAGTCCGGTAGCAGGATCATCGAACTCGACCCACCAATTAACATTTATAAGAGAAGGATCTCTCCATTCTAAATAGGCTTTATTTAACCAGATGGTTTCAAGCCAATTGTACTACAACAGTAAATATAAAAATTTTATTAATTTAATGATAATTTATTGAATAATTAATTTAATTTTCTTTCTTTTTTTTTACCTTTTCGCTTTTATCAACATCATGTAATCTTTTTTGAAGAACCTCAGCGAAACCACCTTCTTTCATAAATTCATCAACGGCATTGGCTGCTCGATTATAATCCGAAGTGGATAAAATAGGCAATAAAGATTTCTTATAACGTTCAGCTGTTTCTTTCAATGTCGGAATTGGAAGACGAGGAATGTTATTTTGATTCGAGAAGGTTTTTTGATGATTGGTTTCCATTTGTGTTACGATTGCACGTTTTTGAAGTAACGACGCTATTTTTCTATTTAAATTTAAAAAAAATTAAAATACAAAACGGATCGAGAAAAGGATGCAATAAACTTACTGATATTTGTTAGAGCTTTTCTTATATAGCGTAGAAGAAAATGCCCGTGTCAACGGTGAATTAAGACGTACAAGCATCATATTTATGATGGATGAAGCTAATGAGTGTACAGTACTTTTTTTTTTTTGCATGTTTATTTATCTGCCTGATGATCTATGAATTTCTAATTAGGGAACAGCAAATCAAATACGACATACCAAAAAAGTAGACTTAGCGCAGTAATTGGATATTAGAATTGTAGTTCCGTAAACACTCGTTTTCTTGTATTTTCGCTTTTTTTGTTTTCTTCGCTCTGCACGCGTGTCTGTTATATCACTCATATATAAGTGCACGAGCAAAATGGTATCACTGAATCAGAAAGTAACCCAAAATCATCATAACCTATATATGTCCATATATGCTTGAGCATTTTTGCGTAGTAAAATGCCCGGAGTTATTGTGATATTACCCTATTTGTTTGTCTATCAGAATTTGTTATTATTATTTCCCGTCTTGTTATGTCATTGCTACAATATTTTTGCTCATACTATTGTTGTAATCGCTTAATCAAAAGTTCATCATATCGGCGAATTTGTGGAATACACTCTCTTTATAAGCACCATTTTTTGAAAAATTATTGGCAATATATTTATTAAAAAAACTCTATATAATCACATTACTATTAAAATTCTATAATCATCTTTTTTGTGTAAAACAAACAACGTGATTATAGAGGAGGACGACTGTATTACTGTATACATTCTGGAATTGCTAAATCCAAGGACCTAATTTAGATCCATTCCGCAAATCCGCCAAGATGCTTTTGTTAGTACAGTTATTCGTATTGCTGATAATCAGTAAGTATGAACTACGTAGTAATTTCTATATAATGTTTTATAGACACTGTGTCACATGAAAAACTAATAAAATAAAACGATAAAATTTATAGTTATTGTATAGATATGTAGTGAATAACCCAGTTACACACGGGTTCATATTCCGTGCCTTCCCGTGTGTGTAACTGGGCTATACAACTTACCCATACAATCTTATTGCATGGTGTCTGACGTAACAATCCCGTGCCAATAAGTAAATGAAAAAAGCACGTGTTGTCACATAAGACCCGTGCAATAAACTAGTTATTATCGATAGTAATTTAATAGGGTTTCAAAATTAACCTATTTCGAAGATAAGTTGGAGTTAAAAAGTAGAGATAATGATCGATCACACAATAACTTATTACTCAATCTTATTGTTTGTCATTATGTTCTATCGTGAGAAAAATCGAATGCACTAATCATTAAATTTAATTCAAAACACCATTCTATTCTAAAAAAAACCAAGTATGATCGATCACCATCTCATTATTAAAAAATCCTACTTTCTGTTTTAAAATTCCGAATCAGGAAATTAAATAAATATACCCAATGATCAAATTAGCTTTTTTGATATATACCTACTAGTGATTAAGTAGAATCGTCCCAATGATTTTGTAATTACCGGTAGTTACGACATAAGTTTTAGCTAGTTACAGCTTAAGCCGTATCATTGAGACAATTCTATTGCATCACTAATACCTACCGGTAAGCGATTATGTAAATATATACTAGATTATATAAAAAAAACACTACTGTATAAAAAATAATTTACTACATTTTATTTTTAGGGGAAATTACACATCGGGGCCCAAATTTGAAAATAATTATGAATGAGGGCCCAAATTAAAAATATTTATTTATAAGGGCCCAATTTTTTGAAAGTATTACAAATACGGGCCCAAGTAATTTTGTGTCATACGAATCAGTGCTCATTGTGGCTTAAGCACGATCTCATGATTTAAATTTTACTTCAAGCGCATAAGAAATGTCATCGTTACTAATGTAAATTAATAATCATATATTCAATATATGAGTATAAAATACAAGGCACATATCTATTAGTAAATTTCTTTCTTCTTGATTTTCTAACTTCTTTCGTCTCAATTTTCTAATTAAAAATAATCTTTGACTGTAAATATTTTCATTATGTCAACCAAATTACAAATTGGTATGACATTTACTAAAATGGAAACGTCCGCTCAGCTTTAGACGATTATTCTATCGAATTTACTGTGCCTTAGCAATTCAAGACCAACAAACCCAACAAGCTGCTTGTTATTTGTCCCACGAAAAAAACTATGTAACGATTCTCTTTACATGTAAAGAAAAAAAATAATAATTAACAACATAAGTGCTTATTGCGAATAAAAATTGATAGCCTTATAACCACAATTATGTAGTTATTGAGTGAGGCGAGTGATCGTTGCAATATTATGGCGCAACGACCCTGTAATTACATTAGGGCCCGTATTTGTAATATTTTCAAAAAATTGGGCCCTTATAAATAAATATTTTTAATTTGGGCCCTCATCCATAATTATTTTCAAATTTGGGCCCCGATGTGTAATTTCCCCTTTTTTTTATGCTTATGTATTAAATTATTAAGTGCTCTTTATACTTGCATACTATTTAGTATGATGAATCAAATAAGTAATCAAGACTATGTCTAACGTCTATAGAATTCGTTATATTACAGATTTTTCATGTTTCATAATAAATATCAATTTTCATTGATATTACCAAGTTCTAATTTTTAATTAGAAGTTTGCGAAAAAATCAAACATTATACTTTGAAATAATTCTGATACAGTATTTTTAATTGAAAGAAATTTGTGTTAATCATTTAGAATTTTGCGCTTTTCTTTATAATAAAGTAATATAAAATTGTTTGATTTGTCATTTTTAACTTTACTAATATAAATCTGATCATAATATGCCTTAGGTAGGTTTGATTACTTAGTTGATTTATCATCCTAATACTATTGTAATTATTGCGTATAAAATTCTAAAAGTTTAAATTTTTGGCTTGATGAACCTTCTTTACAAATCTAGAATAAAATTAAACAGGAAACATTTATAAATTTGATTAATTTTCAATACTTAGGTATTCTTATTACTCAGATTAAAATAAAAAGGTATTTTTTATTAAGAAGATCTTGATACTGTTGGGCAATTGCAAAATTGAACTGATGGCATATTGATGTATTTAATTTTTAGCTTAATACTATTTTTTAGCTTTGGAACGGGAACGGGCCTATTGTAACAGCAAAATAATTATTAGAAAAATATTATTGACTATATTCATGCATTTTTCATGGCTAATAATATATATGTTCAAATGAAATATCGTTCCAGTGAAACACTGGAAAATCTGAATGTCCAATGGGTTCCAGTTTCCAGCCCGACAACACTGCTCGCTTAAACCAGTAAATTTAAAAATTTTCAAAAGAAAAAGAAAAAGATGATTATTAAATAGTCATTAAAATAATTAATAATATTAAAATTTTTTTAATTACCTTATTAAATCTGGTGAAAAAAGTAAGGATCGCTTGCGAAATCTGTTTTAGCTTCACTGGTTTTAGAAACAACCCATGCTGTCCCAATTGGTTCAAACTGACCACCGGGAACGAAGGCTTGAAAAGAAGGTGGGACGTCGATTTGGGGAAGATTTGCGGTTGCAAAAGAATTCATATTCATTTTGGCCATATTGATCAATCCATTGTCCATTTGGAACAATAATTAACACTGGATCAAGTTCTTCAACATCCGAAAACAATTCTCTTTTTCTAATACCAGTTCTTGTGGTTCTTGTATGCGACAAATATTACAAACCATTTTTTTATAAAACCTGATTAATGAGAATAATAATTAAACAATCGTGAAAGTTTGATTTTATTTCATCAAAAATTTAAACATTAATTGCGTATTACCCTACAACTGAATCCAAATAGAAGAGGTTATCCAAACTATTGTAACAATGAAAGGTAAAACGGCCAACTTGCAAAAATTCTTTGGTTGTGGCTGCATTCTGATCCTAAAAAGGAAGAGTGTAATACTTTCAAGTTGATAGTAGGTCAACAGATCGAAATGACAGCTAAGCAGTGATGCATTAGCAAGCGACAATCACATGGGAGATCCCAGTTCTAACAAGAGAATCCGGTATATACAAGGAGGAAGATAAGTATAAATTTAATGAAATTACTAATTTAGAAGTTTATAGTGCGAATACTAATATAACAAAATTTAGCAGGGAACGTTGTAAAAGGGTAAATCATGGCCTGCAATGAATTTTTTCGCGCATATTAGGTTTAGAAGCTACGTATGTACCTTTTGTACATATAAACCATGTACATTTTGTACATAGGATGTGTACATTTTGAACATATGTACAATTTGCACATATGTACAATTTGTACA